GGCAAATTTCAAATGTCCGCTAGTGATGTGGCGCTACAATATTTGGCTATGTCTTGGCTACTTTAATATTATTTTTACGTGTTTTAGCTGGCAACACTCATTCGACCATGAAAGGGAGCCAGTATTTAAACGAGGCTTAATTTTCTAATTTTTAACAATACAATAGCGACGATTATTATTTTAAAAAATTTTTGTTAGGCTTAACATCAATGAAAATTCAACGCAAAGTAGGTTAATAGCGATATACTAATATACTAATTACATGGGATATAATAATATACTACACTAATAATGGATTTTTTCATACTTTTCGGTTATCCGACCAACCCGTCCCCAATTGAGTCGGATAATCGAGGCTCTACTGTATTGAAGTTAAAAATTCCAGTAATTTAAATTACTATATTATGAGCAAACAAGTAAAATGGCAAAACCGTATTTGAGATTATTTGAGACAAGACTATGTCTCGGAGATGGAATCACTTTGATGCTCAAGGCGGATCTCAGTCTTGTTCTCATATCTTCTTTGAAATCACTGCTTTTGGGCACAATCGTTCAAACTTCGTCGGCCATGACCATGAGATCATCCATGATGCATCTTCGATGAAATTAACCTATCTAATTTCAAAATTTCTCTCCGTTGGGTGTTGGCCTGGGTTGAATTTTTGTCGATGCATAACAAAAAGTTCCAATTTTTGAAAAAATAATTGTGGCTATTGTATCGTCCGAAATCATTTTTTTTTTATTTTGCACAAACAATATACAGTTTAACCCGATTATAATGTCATCAAATGTAACAACAACCCTAATATAACATCAGATTTTTATCAGTCCTACGATTTTACTATACTAGATAATGTTAAAAAACCCACTTGTAACTACATAAAACTGTTTTAACGTCATATTTGAAGCACTCCCAAATTTACAAAATTAGATTACAAATTTTATTTAACATAGAAGAAACTACGTGTTCAGTCCTAAGGTCAGAGGTCACTTCTTAGAATGACTGTGGGTGGTACTTTCCCCTAACTGACTTCAGTGGGGTGAGGTGGCTGTTTTGCCTGTTTGTAGAAGAGGGTCACCATTTTGGATTTTATTTTGACTCGATTCTCGGTCCCCTGACTACCTACGAGTCTGGATTTTTTTATGCACAAATTATTTGGGCACCTAATACTCTGTGCCAAATATCAACTCTTGGCGTGTACTTCTTCATACCTCTATGCTGGTAAGAAAATCAGGCAGTACGATTTTATAAGCAAGACATAGTCTTGTCAATAACAACTAAAACAATTTAACATTTAGGCAATGGATAAAACTGATAACAATCAAGCATTATTAGCTGTTTATTCTAATCATAAAATCATCATGTGAGGTCATATTGCAAGAAGCTTAAAAATGTCTATTTACTTAAAGATATTGTTTCAGTTGCTCATATTATGTGAAATTTTATATGCAGAGATCAGATTTGTTAGCAATTGCTACTTTTTCCTGCTCAGATATAGCACTTTCCTGATAATACATTTTTATGAGACATGACTAACAGTCCTTCTGAATATATCCTATGTGCTACTTAAATTATTGCTACTTTTGACTCTACACATTTTGGTGAAGTTTTCTAGTTTTCTTGTAAAATTTGTATTCCAAATATACTCCTGCAACAAAGCATTAATACAGTTTATCATTTTATGTCACTAATCTTGTTAATGCAATTGTCAAATCTAGACAACTTCCAACATATAGAGAATTTAAAGCATGAAAACGAAAAAACTTTTCAGCTTTTTTTTTCTTTTTTGAAACAAGTAAATGGATTTTAAATGCTAGAAAAATTTTAAATTGGTACTTTTCTGTTTTGACAGACCATTATATCTCATCATGAAATTATTAATGCATTAATATTACTATTTATTAATAAAACTAAAATGTCCAAAACTTTAATGTCAGAATGCTTTCAACAGTGACCTGAACTTTATAAATGACTCTACAAATCTTATGGGGAAGGGGTCCAGGTGGATTTGACTGATATCTTTAATGTTTTGTAGCTCTAGTAGTCTTATCAAAAGCCTCCATAGGCAGTGTCAAAGTATGAGCATTTTTTAAATTATCAAGCATCCAAGATGCAAAAACAGTGTAATTTGCATTTTGTTGTAAAGCCCTAAACCTACATGCAACCCTTGCTTGAGTCCTTTCCAAAAATCCGCTGGGGACCTTAGTGCATTCAGTGTTGCTGATGTATTCATGGAAGCTGTTTCTATACGTATCCCTTTTCATAAGAACAATGCTCCTGGATTTATCCGCCCTTACAGCGACCACATCATTACGACTCATCCATCGTCTAGAATTATGTATGGCACTCGAATATGATCGTTCATCCTGTGCCTTGGCCCTGTGGTTACAGATATCGAAGAAAACCTTTCAGGAGCATTGTTCTTATGAAAAGGGATACATATAGAAACGGCTTGCATGAATACATCAGCAACACTGAATGCACTAAGGCCCCCAGCGGATTTTTGGAAAGGACTCAAGCAAGGGTTGCACGTATGACCAACTCCTCATTGGCTAGAGTACTAAAGATAACTAAGCCCTAAACCTTTTTGTTTCAAAGTATAAAACGATGTTTTCAAATGTTATTGATGTTAACCAGATTTCCTTGCAGGGGAATGCAAGGAAATCTGGTTAACATCAATAACATGCAAGTATGATTCTCATGCTGTTTGTGTTTGTACCACACTAGGAAGTACTTGTGGTACCTACTAGTGTATAAGCACGTTTTGGCAGATTCACTCCACTGAGACTTGATAACAGTTGAAAAACAACTCCATTGAGATATTTTGAGGTGATACACTAATTATTGAATAAATAAGTACTCGTTTTCTCTGAGTTTCATTCATATTGGTAAATGCCTATATTTTCTTTTTTTTTATTGATCTAGTTAATATAAAATTACATTACACTGTTTAATATCTCATATATATAAGATAGAATAAAGGAGAAATTGATAATTCTTTCTTATAAACATTAATCATTTTAACTTCCATAATTCTCAAATACCTTCACATGGTTTTCAGAAATAACTTGCATTGCTATGTTTGTGATAAAGTATTTCTTTCATGGCAAAAGACTTGGATAAATGAAGTTGAAAATGCTGTAAAATGTAACATTGCTGTTTTCTGTGAGGGATTTTTTAGACCATCTTGTCATAAGAAAGTGACAAGAATATGTATAAATTGCAATCAATCCATTGCCTAACATCAATAATGTTTGAAAATATATGATTTTTTTTTATTTTGAAACAAAAAATAATTAGGGCATTACAAATTATGTTGATTTTGTATCTTGGGTACACATTAACTCAAAAACTTTCCATTTGGCATCCTTTTCCATTAGGTGTAAGGCTGTTTTTTTTTATTTTTGCTTCCTAAATTGTTAGGTGCACTCAATCACATAAAAGAGCATGGACATTGTCACTTTGACCTAATGTTTCTTAGAAACAGTGTTGCAGACCTCCTTTTTTATTATATTTTTGGATTCCTCACTACAATTAATGGAAAATGCAAGGTTTTATCAAAACTGGCCCATCAGATTTTGAGAATGAATGCAATTCTGTAACCCATATAGAAGAGGATTCAGTAATGCTTCACTTCAATTATAACAAAAATAAATGGATATTAATACTGTATTTATATAGTCTTATTATATTTGGTGTCCAAAATTAAAGCAACAAACACAAGTCTTATGTAAAATCAACACCAGAAAATATGACTAGCTAAAACTTACATGTGTAAATCAGCAAGGTGTCATCTTATTATGCATGTCATGCAAATGAGGCATGATAGCATTGTACCCATGCAACAAAATGTAATGCACTATGTATACAACAAAATTGTTTCTGACATCTACTAGGACTTAACAGTGAGAAAGTGTTCTTAATACATTAGTAAAAGAAGGAATTTGAAAGATTCATTGTAATAGAGGGCCATTAATTTCTGCATTTTTGCCATATACATTTGTGTGTGTAGCTTTAATTTTGAATACAAATGTATAATACTACTTATAATAAAAATGCAACAAACAATAAATTAAAACAGTACAAAAAATTACACAGGTTTACTTAAGTGTTCATTCTCTTGTAGTTTTTCATAATGTATGTTAACAATCAGAATGGGTTTTCCTCATATTTTATATATTTTTTAAATTGAAATTTCCGACCACTTTGAATAGTTTTTTAATTTAAACATTTATTTTTATTGCGTTAATAGTAAAGATTTACTTTTGAATTTGCAGCTTTTTAAATTATATTTTAATTCATCAGAATTAGGATATCCTAAATATGTAACATTAAATAACTTAAAACGATTCCAGGATTACAATAAATACTCATAAAATACATTCATTTCTATTTTTTTCACATGAAATATAATCTCTAATTGTCAAGACTTGGGAGTTTGAATTTGGTTTGACTGCTCAATTGTTTGATATAATTTGTTAGGCCTAATTTTATCAATCCTTAGAATAGTTAAAAAAAAAAACCAAACCAATATTTTATTGAACCTGATTTTATCACCCTAAAGCCATTTTTTATAAAGCAGTGAGCAGGTAACATGTGCATTTGGACCCCAGCACTGTAGTCCTTTCATCTGTCTTGGATGCTAATTTGTCCAATGGTCAAAGGTTCAAATAAAAATGGAAGAAGCAAGAAGATTGACAGAGTACACAAGATCTTGATCAATCAAGGACAAATTGAATCAGAGTTTCATGTTCATCTCAGTCATTCCAATAAGGAAGCTTCTCTGAGAGAAGTGAGATCTTGAGAGTCTTAGAGATAAATTGAGTCAGGCATTCATCTCAATATGCCAATTAAAAAAGCAATTAATATATATAATGTAAGGTAAAAATACTTCATTTGAGATTGTAGTTTCTCATATATCTGACTGGAATAAATGATAGATTGCAACTTAAGCAACCTCAATGTTGTACAATAGATATTCTGTTTAAGCACAAGGAACATTAATTAAGTGGGAATTTGAAAAATTTACTGTAAACATAGGATCGCATGCTTATATGAAACAAATAATAAAAATAAAATAATGACAATAAAAAATAAAAAGATTCATACGTTATATTGAGTAATGTATACAGTCTTCCAGCAAGGTGATTGTGGTTCATATCTTGGAAAAATAATATTCAGGTTCTGTACATCTCACAAGGAGACAACATGGCATTAGAGTAACCAATTTTGATCAAATTCAATGAGGATATAGTGCATCACTGACATGTGCCAAGCAGTAGGGAGCACTACTCAAAATTAAACAAGAAAACTGAAGTTGAAAATTGCATAATCACTTAAAACCTGTAGCATTTCTATCATTTGTAGAATGGCTGATGGTTCCACGGGGTACACTGATTTTGTAATCAGGAGATTGATACTGAAGAGATTTGAAACACAGAGTTATTTTTTCCCCTGAAAACTATCATTTTTACTTTATTCTTGGTATTTTAAATTTATCATATTTATTTTAAAATTATTTTTGAATATTCATATATGTAAAGGATTTGTACATAACATTTATTTATTTATAATTTACTTTTGAAAATGGTAATATTTACAATTCATAATATATGAAAGCAGTCTTTAAACATAATTCTGCAATATCTTCATACAATGATTCTTCTACAGAACACATTTCTATGATCAATGTTATTATGAGATGTCAAAGCTATCTTCTTTGTTTTTTTTTTTTTTTTTTTAGAAAACGTAGATAATTATGTACATTTGTAGTTTTCTATAAATAGATCAGATTTCTCCCTGGCAATATAATAAATTTAAAAATACCAAGAATAAAGTAAAAATTATTGCTTTCAGTAGAAAAAACCCACCAATACTGATGAGGAACACAGACCACCTGATTACTTGCATGCCTCAGAGCCACCAGCCATTCTACAAGTGATAGAAATGCAGATTTTAAGTAATTATGCAATTTTTAACCTATCTTTTTTCTTTGAAGTGTCTTACTACTTGGCACATGACAGTTGTTGGTAATGCACTATATATTCAGAGTTCAATCAAAATCTGTGACTTTCATCATCATGTTGTCCCCTAATCAGGTTATCAATGAATCCAAATCAGTCCTTTCCTTCTTAACGTTGATTACATGATCGTTTTTCATGTTTATAACTACAGTATATCCTCTGCTACTCTTAGAAATAGCAATTTCAACTCCGATATTATTGTTTGTGCTTAGAAAGTTATAAAGTCATCATTACAGCAGCTACCTTTTTACAGTAAAAATAATATACGTTAATCTATCTATTCTAAAAATGACAGAGCTAGCACTCATCTAATGCAAAAACTTTAATTTTTGATAGTTTAAAAGAAATACTATATAATTTTACTGTTGAAAAAATTTTTGGAGACTGGTAATACAACATATATACTAGTGATGTGCCGGATCGTTAAAAATGTATATCCGCGGATACGGATCATTAGTGTCTAGATCCGCGGATACGGATACGGATCTCAACTTTTGTACTCAGTCGACACCAGTGCGTGTGACCTTGGACCAATAGTTGACGCTTTGCGTTTATAACGCAACGTGTTTTGACTTGCACTGCGCGTGTTTTTGTTTATGGTGTAAAAGTGTGCTAAATTAGAATTCACCACAAAGGCAAACAGGATAAAGTAACAAAAGTTGAATATAATTTTCCAATTAAGCTATTTCACGTCTTTATACAGATTCTATTTCGGGGGATTCCAACTTCACAGTACAAACAGTAGCATGCGAAATTACAGCGATAATAATAGTTCGCTGTATCCAAAGCACGTGTACAATACAGATCCCGATAGCGACAATATAACCCGGAACCTTAAAACTAACCTTAAACACCAACTTAACACTAATAACAGAAAAAGGGATAGAATTAAGAAGACAGAAAAAATGGTAGATAAGATAGAAATAGGGATATCTGGGGTTTTGTCCCTTTTTTCGGCTTGTTTCGGGTTGTTGGGTGGGATAACACACGTCCTTCTCCTATAACTGGCCAGTTCTCTTCTTCAATAATTAGGATTTTTCCTTCCACAGTCGTCAATATGACCTTAAAACAGGATCTTTTTTCTGAACTTATTTCTGAACTATCCGGTCATTGAAAATATGAGTCCTTCGTATTTTCACCTCGTCCATACATTCTGCCGTCCAGTTTACGAATGACCTGTTATGTCACTTCTCTTTTTTCTCTGGCTCCTGTTTACACCTTTGCTCCTCAAATTTCTAGGAACTGCTCATCCCACCCAAGGGACAGGGAATAGATAAGAAAGTTCTAGAAGAAAATAGAATAGAACAAAGGGTAGAAAGAAGAAACGAAACTTAAAAGTAATATTTACAAAAATATAGCGTACCACCACAATAGTTTAGTGCAGTGTTTCCCAACCTTTTTTGTGCTATGCCCCACCTAAGCCTTTCTANCTTGTATTAATATATCTGTACAAGACAGTCAATTGTTAGAAACTTAGTAATTGATTAAATTTAAATTTACAAAAACTAAAAATTTATTACTTAAAATTAAATTAGTTCAAGTTCAATTTCAAATTTTTCAGTGAAAATATACCGAAGCTTACCTCTGAATTGTATGACATCCAATATGTCAGCATTACATTTAATGGAATGGGACCTTGTCTTAATGAAGTTTTTACACTAATCAAACATTGATGTGTCTACTTTCAAAATGAAATGATGATGAAAAATAGATGTAATAAGAGACAATAAGAAAGAGAAAATCCAGTCTAAACAGAGATGCTGGAATAACTTCATGTGTTTCGTTTTCTTGCTGATCAAATATTTCCTAATTATGAATTACAGTTACTTTATAAATCCTTATAATTTTTGAAATTCTATTGATTAAACCTTTGGAAGCTGATACTTTCATCACTAACATAATATATAAATATAATAAATATAAATAT